AGCTTCCTGCTTGCTGGGTGTGCTGCTGCCCTGCCAGTGGTGTGTTTGTTTACAGCTAGTGGGAAGTGGTCTTCCCCACTCTGTGGGGTTTTCCCTCCCTCTGCCATCACAAGCTTCCACTCTTGGTTGCTGGCATGTGCCGCCGCTCCTGCCCTGTCCAGCCAAGCCAGGCTTTTTATTTATAGTTCTGTGAGGGATCCCTTCCCCTCCTCTTCAGCACTCAGGGTGCCCACTCTTTGCTACTCGTCTTTATTGTTCTTATTGCTTATTATTCAGTTTCTCTCTTTTTTCCCTGGGTCTGGGTCGGCGTCATGGGCTATACTGACTTGTCCAGGGTTGTCTGTGGACACTGAGTACCACTTAGCTCATCCTGTGTCCGCATCTTGCAAGCCATCTGGTGTGGGATCTGGTGGCGGCCCGGGGACCCTCCTGGTTCTCTCTTCAATGTGAAGTGGAGATGCTCTGCACAGGCTGAAGTTGTGGAGGGGTCAAAGTTTTGTCTCTTCTCGGTGGCCTTGCCTACAAGGTGGTCTACAGAGTCTCTCCAAGATTTCACTTTAGGAGGCCACTTTCTGCTTCTTCCTCTAGCCACCATCTTGGAATCCCTGATTCTTTTAATTGGTCTTTACACTGGTTCTGATCCCCTTCTTGTGTTGATCCTGTCACTTTAAGGTTTCTGTATTAGTTCCTCTGGAGTGGGGACATCAAACACTTTCATGTTTTGGATTTTCTACCCATTCCCATATCTCCCGTATGTGCTCTCCCTTGTCATATAATCCAAGTCCAACCACATGCTGTATTTGGCCTAGATTAAAGTCACATTGAGGCAGAATTACAATCTTGCTCTTCTGAGCCTGGCTAACCTCGCTAGCAGATGTTCTCCAGTTCCATCATTTACTGGCAAATGAAAGATTTATTCTTCATGGCGAGTAGAATTCCATGCATATAAATCACATTTCTTGATCCATTCCATAGTATTGGGGCATCTTGGCTGTCTTCATAACTTGGCCATGTAATAGTGGTGGCAAGAAACATGGTTGTGCCAGGTGCCTCTGGAGTACCTGTGTTGCATTCCTTTGGTATATCCCCAGAAGTGGGTTTGCTGGATCATATGGCAGGTGGTATGTTTAGATTTTTAAGGAGCCTCCAATTTTTTTTCCAGAGTCATTGCACCAGCTGGCATTCCACCAGCAGGTGACAAGTGTTCCCTTTCCCCACATCCTCGCCAACACCTGTTGTTTTGATGAGGCTATTCTAATGAGTGAGGTGGAATCTTAGTGTGGTTTGAATTTGCTTTGCCTTTATGCCTAGAGATGGAGAGCATTTTTTCATTTATTTTTGGCCATTTGAATTTCTACTTTGAGAAAGTGTGTTTAGTTCAGTTGCCCATTTTTAATTGTTCATTGATGTTAGGAGTTTAGTTTCTTAAGTTCCTGTATATAATTCTGGTTATCAGTCCCCTGTCTGATGTTGGCTGGCAAACATTTTCTTCTACTCTGTGGGTTGTCTCTCAGTTTGGAGACATTTCTTTTGTTGTGCAGAAGCTTTTTAATTTTAAAATAGTCCCATTTGTCATTCTCCCTCTTTAGTTGCTGGATGCTGGGTTTTATTGAGGAAGTCCTGCTCATTACCTATTAGTTCAGAGTGTTCCTGCTCCTTCTTGTAGTAACTTCAGTTTTAGGTCTGATATTTAGGTCTTGATCCACTTTGAGTTGGTACTAGTAAGGGTGATAGACATGGATAGTTCAGTTTTCTTGCAGACAGGTTACCACTTTTCCAGCAACATTTGTTGAAGAGCTGTCTTTTCTCCATCGTATGTTTTGGCACCTTTGCCAAAAGTGAGGTGGGTATAGGTGTGTGTGTTCATATCCAGGTCCTGTGTTCTGTTCCACTGGTCTTCAGGTGTGTTTTTGTGCCAGTACCATGCTGATTTTATTGCTATTGCTTTGTAATATAGTTTGAAGTCAGGTTTTTGTACCTCCAGCATTGCTCTTTTTGCTGAGTGTTGCCTGTCTATTCACAGCTGTTGTGTTTCGCAAATGAACTTAGGATAGGTTTTTCATATCTCTGTGATGAATGTCATTGGATTTTGATGGAATTGCATTAAACATTTGATGCTTTTGGTAGTGTAGCTATTTTTACAATGTCGATTCTACGAATCCATAGCATGGAGATCTTTCCATCTTCTATAGTCTTTCTTGATCTCTTTCTCAGGGGTTTGTAATTATCTTTATAGAGGTCATTCAATCCTTTGTTAAGTTTACTACTATCTATTTGATTTTTTTTTTTGCTAATACATTTCATTTTATTTTTATTTTTTATTTTTTTTATTATTCATATGTGCATACAAGGCTTGGTTCATTTCTCCCCCTGCCCCCCCCCTCCCTTACCACCCACTCGCCCCTCCCTCTCCCCCCTCAATACCCAGCAGAAACTATTTTGCCCTTATTTCTAATTTTGTTGTAGAGAGAGTATAAGCAATAATAGGAAGGAACAAGGGTTTTGCTGGTTGAGATAAGGATAGCTATACAGGGATTGACTCACATTGATTTCCTGTGCGTGGGTGTTACCTTCTAGGTTAATTCTTTTTGATCTAACCTTTTCTCTAGTACCTGGTTCCCCTTTTCCTATTGGCCTCAGTTGCTTTAAGGTATCTGCTTTAGTTTCTCTGCGTTAAGGGCAACAAATGCTAGCTAGTTTTTTAGGTGTCTTACCTATCCTCACCCCTCCCTTGTGTGCTCTCGCTTTTATCATGTGCTCATGTCCAATCCCCTTGTTGTGTTTGCCCTTGATCTAATGTCCACATATGAGGGAGAACATACGATTTTTGGTCTTTTTGAGCCAGGCTAACCTCACTCAGAATGATGTTCTCCAATTCCATCCATTTACCAGCGAATGATAACATTTTGTTCTTCTTCATGGCTGCATAAAATTCCATTGTGTATAGATACCACATTTTCTTAATCCATTCGTCAGTGCTGGGGCATCTTGGATGTGGGGAAAAAGGAACCCTCTTTCACTGTTGGTGGGAATGTAGACTAGTACAACCACTCTGGAAAAAAATTTGGAGGCTACTTAAAAAGCTGGACATCGATCTACCATTTGATCCAGCAATACCACTCTTGGGGATATACCCAAAAGACTGTTACTCCAGAGGCACCTGCACATCCATGTTTATTGCGGCACTATTCTATTTGATTTTTTTGTGTGGCTATTGTAGATGGAATTGTTTCCATATATTCCTTCTCAGTTTTTTCATTGTTGTGTATAGAAAAGCTAATAATTTTTGTAAGTTGATTTTTTATTCTGTCACCTTACTGTAGCTGTTTGTGGTGTCTAAGAGTTTTTGGGTAGAGTTTTTTCGGTCTTTAAGGTATAGGATCATGTCATCTGCAAATAAGGATATTTAGACAATCCAACACCACTTCATAATAAAAGCTTTAAGTAAACTAGGAATTGAAGGACTGTACCTCAACATTGTACAGGCTATATATGACAAACCTACTGCCAATATCATACTTAACAGTGAAAAACTGAAACCACTCCTTCTAAAATCATGAACAAGACAAGGGTGCCTACTATCCCCACTCCTATTCAACATAGTACTGAAATTTCTAGCCAGAATTTCTAGGCAAGAAGAAGAAGTAAAAGAATACAAATAGGTAAAGAAACTGTTCCCTGTATTTTGAATGGTAGTTTGCTGGGTAGAGTATCCTAGGGTTGAAGTTATTTTTATTCAGTGCCTGGAATACCTCACTCCATGCTCTTTTGCTTTTTAGATTTCCATTGAGAAATCTGGTGTAATTTTGATGAGTTTACCTTGTATGTTACTTGTTTTTTTCTCTCTTAAAGCCTTCAATATTCTTTAATCTCAGTGTGTTGTTTTAATGATAATATGTCATGGAGTAGTTCTATTCTGGTCAAGTCTGTATGATGTCCTGGAGGCTTCCTGTACCTGAATTGGCATAGTTTTCTCTAGATTTTGGAATTTTTCTGTTATTTTTTTGTTGACTATATTATGAAGTTCTCTTGCTTGCACCTCTTTTCCTTCTTCAATGCCCATGATTCTCAGGTTTGGTCTTTTGATGGAGTTGGTGAGTTCTTGCATATTCCTTTCATATGACTTGAGTTGTCTGATTGATAGTTCTTCACTTTTTCCTTTAATTACCATTTCATCTTCACCTTCTGAGATTCTGTCTTCTGCTTGTTCTAGTTTCCTTCAGTGGCCTTCCATTTTGTTTTGTATTTCTGTTTTATTCTTTTTTTCTAAGGTTTTCCATATCATGGGTCACTTCCTCTTTAATATTGTCAATTTTCAACCTTAATTCATTTATCTCTCTATTTATGGTGTTTTCTGTTTCACTTTGGTGTGTATTTAGGGCTCCTTTGAGTTCATTTATTTGTTTTTGGGTTTTCTCATATTCTTTATTTTTATTGTCTTGGAATTTCTTGAGTGCCTCCTGAACATTTTGGTTGACCATGTCTAGTAACATCTCTGAAATTCTCCTTGATTTCTTGCAGAATTTCTTTTTTCAGGGTGTTCTTGTGGGCTTTGTTGGGCTCCTTTGTATAGTTTACCTTTGTTTTGTTGGAGTCTGGATCTGGGTATCCATTTTCTTCATTTTCCTTGAATCCTGTACTAATTTATTTTTGGGGGGAGAATGTTTTCCATCCTTTTTTGTCTCCCCATCACTCCACTTTGTACAGTTTCTGTCCCTGGTCTATGTGTAATTTAGTATTATGTAACTTACAATAGTAAAATTAATAAAACCAAGAAAGAATGAGAAAAAAGAAGAAGAAAAAGAAAGAGAAAAAATGGAGAACCAAAGAATCAACAGGGAGAGATGGTGGACAATCAAACAGTGAACAAGACAAACAAACACTTAAAGAAAAGAAAAAAGAGAGAAAACAGTCCCCAGTTCAGGAACAGTAGCATTTCAGTCTTAGTAGTTCTGGTGTTACTCTTTCAGTATCCAGTCCTGTTTGTCTGTGTCTCCTAGGCAAGTTTGGAGCTTGTGTCTGGTGGTGCTGGAGCCCTCCTGTGGTGGGTGGTGTCCTGGTGGACCAGAGGCCTGGGAGGCTGGTGGCCCAGTGGGCCTACAGGGTGGAGGACTGGTCAGCTGGCAGGTGAGGGTGGCCTGCCTGTTCTTTCAGTGTATCATGACATGGAGAAGCTTTCCATGGGCTAGGGATTCAGGGTGCCAAAATTTCAGCTCTCCCTTGTGCTTTACCTCAGCCAAGCATTTCTCCAGCATCTCAGCAAGGTCCTTGATTCCTGGAGCTCATGCATTCTGTGTCTGTGTCCCAGTCACTATTTTGGATCCTCCTCCAGTATGCATGTTTTAAACCTGGGACTGGACAGAGGTCAGTATGGGAAAGTGACTGGGAAGTAGTGAAGAGGTGAGGGAGAGATGAATCAATTCAGGTTGCAATACACTTGTGCATGGAAGCAATGCTAGTAATCTCTATGCATAGCTATCCTTATCTGAACTAGCAAAAATGCTTTGTCTTTATTATTATTGATCATGTCTACTCTTCAAAAAATTGGAGAAAAGGGCACAACAGTTTCTGCCTGGAAGCACAGAGGTTGAGGGTGAGAAATGGCCTAAACATTGCATGCACATATGAATAAATGAATAAAGAAAAAACAACAACAACAAAAAAAACCATGGGACTGGGATGGAATCCCATGCTGTGTTGTAATAGCATGTTTATCTCTGTAAGATACTTCCAAATTTTTCTTCATTGACAGTAACGTTTATATTTCCTCCAACAATGTATGACATTTCCAGATGCTCCCAATCCTTACCTGTACCTGGTATTTTCAGGATTTTTTTCCCCTCTTTTGGTTGTCATTTTAATAGGTATGTATTTGTGTCTGATTGTGGTTCGTTTGGCAGGGTTTTGAGTTCATTCATTTACTATTCTGGTAATTCCTGTGTAACTGATGTCCAGGCTGTCTATTCTGTTTTAAAATATGATGTCCATAACAGCTATTCAGATGTGAAACTCTGCTAATATCCCTGTCCATGATAGCTCAGCAATTAGTACATAAGAGTAATTCCAAAGTCATGTATCTTTTTTGGCAGTTGCCTTTTAATGTTTGGTAAATTGAGTTTCTTATACAATAAAGGAAGCATAATTTTGTTAGTAAATGACCATCATCATTTGTGCTTTGGAACATAGAAGAATCTGTAATCAAGAGCATATCAAATCCCTGAGCTATACTGAATATTAAATACTGGCCATTTTCCTTGGCAGGAAAGGACATTTAGCAAATTTCTTCACCAGCATCTTATGTATGTATGCATTTATTTGTTTATTTCAACCAGGATCTCACTATATTGCCTAGGTTGGTCTGAAACTCATGGATTCAAATGATCCTCCAGCCTCAGCTTCCCAGGTAGGTGGGATTATAGCCATATGCTACCACATATTGTTTATTTTTTAAAATGATAATCATTTTTGAATAAATATCTTATGTTTCAATTACAGATCCTGTGTAAAGCAATCCATGGGCCATTCCCAAGTTTGTAGTGTGTTTTTGATGGTGTCCTTTAGAAAAGTTTTCCAGGTCCATAGCCATGATCATGGTTTTGACTTTACCTTTGCTGGTAGTGCAACATTGTTACTTCCTTGACCCAACCCTAGGCTGATCAGTGTCTCTAAGAGTGCGTATGAGACTCAACATTAAAAAATCATCTTCCTGGGCAGCCATTCTGATGTAAAAGCCTAACACTGACTAATAGAACAAACTTACCATACAGTTATCTGACTGAATTGGTCAATGCTCAATAAATAATAGCTAAATATTAAAATGGAAAATACAGTGAAGTGAATACTATTCTAAAATATGTTTCATCTTTTTACCTATATGTCATCATCTTTTTGAAAAAGCAGTGGGGGCTAGGGTATGGCTCAAGTGGGAGAGCGCCTGCTTAGCATGCACTGATGTCCTGAGTCTTAGAATAATCCTGATAATCCAGACTTAGCAGACTTTGTTTGCTGACTGACTAGTTTTTTATCTATGGGAAAATCGGTTAAATTTTGTTGGTCCACATTTTCCCATTTGAAAATACTGAGTTTAGAATAAATAATTTCTAAGGTTCCTATACTTCAGTGCTCTATTATCTCTAGACTGTGTTAGTCTTTGGTTCTGGACCTTTGTTCAGAAAATTAGAGAAGTGTTCACTTCATAAAAAAGAAGCATCTGGACAATACATATTTACATGATATAATAGCATTTATACTGTTATTAATGCAGTAGACCCATTTCAAATGAGGAAGCAGATGCCAGTTTGTCCTTGAACTTATGCTCTTTGATAGTCTAATCTGTCACCTAATTAAGTTATGGATACAAAGGGTCACCTTTACTAAGTTAGTTAACACAAAACTGAGTAATAAAAATTATTTTGTATTTATCTGATAGGCACTTTGTATATATTAGGAAAACACATAAACAGAGACTATCAGAATATTAGCAAACTTTTATTTCTTTTGCAAGATGCAAAAGAGGCAATATAATGTACAAACATGGTTGTGACCATGACTTAAGGAAGTCAACTGTTCAGATCCAATTCCTCTTCTGGGGCTGGAACTGTGGCTCAAGTGGTAGAACACCTGCCTACCAAGTGGAAGGCCCTGAGTTCAAACCCCAGTTCCAATCAAAAAAATTCCTCTTCTGCATTCACTCCCTAAATTACTTTGAAGAAGTGGGCACATCAATTTTGTCTTAGTTTTATCATCTGTTAAATTATGATGAAATTAGTGCTTATTTAATATAGTGCCTATTAAAATTTGATGTATCCAAAGTACTTAGAACATAGACCAGTAAATTTTAAGGTTTGTATTTAGTATTAATTACTAATGTCATGAAGACAGTCCTGCCTTTTACATGGGGTATTTATGATCTTGCCTGATTTATAAGGGATGCACATCTTCTTATTTTCTTGGCTAAAGAATGACTTCCATTCCCAGTAGTCTGAAACTATCCTCCAGAACCACATACACACTTTTTTTCATTTATTCATATGTGCATACAATGATTGGGTCATTACTACCCCCTTCCCCTCACTCTGTCCCTTTCCCCCCACCCCTTCCCTCTCTCCCCCACTCCCTCGCTTCCAAGCAGAAACTGTTTTGTCCTTATCTCTAATTTTGTTGAAGAGAGAGTATAAACATTAATAGTGTTTTTCTTAGTTGAGGTTAGGATAGCTATATAGGGAGATTCCTCGTATTGCTTCCATGTACATGCACACTTTGGATCTGTCAGCATTCCTGGCTTTCATTGTCTTCCATTTGAAATGGACTGTATCAGTCCTCAGTGTTGATTAGCAATAGATACTGAAAACAACATCTCACATTCTTATAACAGGAGCCAATATTATCACCCTGCTGGTGTACTGGGAATGTAGACAAATGCCCTCAGGGTCCTTAGAACTTATCCATATAAAGCCAAATTTATGAGATGAAACACACACTTGTAAATGAGCTTTTTAAATAGCATATAGTATGTTTCATGGACTCCACTTTGCTTTGGAGAGAATTTTGACTTGTCTCATAGCTTTGATTTTCTTCTTAGACAAAAAGCAAACAAACAAACAAACAAATCCAGCAGAATATGCCATTTAAAAATCTTGTGTGATGTCCAGTTGATTTACAAACAAAATGTTTGATACATTAAGATTATATAATTATAATATTTTGTATGGTTTAAAGGTGCAGTTATGGTTTGATAATTAATTTTGTATAGTCACTCATTTGTCAAATAACATCTTGTCTGGGAAACTTTTATGTGCTTTGCCATTTAATTGCATCTTTCTTGTTTCATAGAACTCCACAGGCACAGCTTGTTAACATGCTACCAGATACATTCACACATTCATGCGAAACTATCAGTGAGGCACAATGTTCTCAGAATGAAAAGGATGGTGACAGTGAAGGTCAGTTAAGCTTTGATCACATCCTTTTACATCTATTATTTTAAATTACATTCAACAAACATTAAGTAGCATCTGCTTTTGGTATTCTTTAAGGTGTCATTGTCAACTGGACGATGTAACCTATTTTCAGATCAAAATCATGCAGTCTTCTTCCCATTCTCTAGATTTACTTTGGCTAACTAAAATAGTTTCATTAAAAAAATTAATGCCAAGAAATTGTATATTTCACTTGATTTGGGAAAGTCAGCAGTATTTGTATCGCCATATGTGTGCATGGGAGAAGACCATTCTTTGTTGTTGGTAATATGATTTCAAGAAAGGAGGGGAGAAGGGGAGTAAGAGGTGTTTGTGGGGAAGGTTGCCCAAACAATGTATATACATGTGAGTAAATGTAAAAATGATAAAATGAAAAAAATTAAAATAGTAAAAAATAAAAAAATAATGGAAATTATCAGATAAGATGTGTTCTTTGGAAATACTATTTCTAATCTTATTCCTTAGTTGAGAAGACTGAAGTACAGTATCCAACTCTTTTCCCACCAGTAGAAGAATTAAATATAGAGAGACCTGAACCATGTCTAAAGATAATAGAACTAGATGAAGTAAGTGCTTACAAACTATTCACATTTGTTAACAAACAGAAAACCTGTAACATACAGTTATGTCTACATACTATTGTCAATAAAAGTTCTTTCATAACTCATCTAAGCTTAAGTATACATATTTGAATTTAAGTATGCTGATAAAAATAAATTAGTATAATTTTAATATAGAGAATAAATTTGTGAGCTATATTTCCATTTTTTGGAAGCAAGCAGTATGGGAAGTGAGAAAACACTCCACTATGATAACTTACAAAGTGTACTTTAGTAACAGGTTAGTTTAAGGTGTGACAAAATTATTGCATTTCTGACTTTTCAGTCATCTAGTAACTGAGTAAACCACGTGTCCTAGGTATTTCTGTTACTATGGTTGTCTCAGAAAATATAATGCAGAAACTACCTCTTTAAATACTGCTTTCTTCTTTAGGTTGATAGGTTAACGGTCTGAGTTTGTTGTTTTAAAGACTAGTGGTGTTTTTATTTTGTTATCTAGATAAGTTGGACAACACACAAACACTGATGCATACATGTGCTACTTATTAAATTGTTGATGCCTACAATAAGTTTATGACATGCCAGAGAACCAGAAACCCTGTAGTCACCAGTCGTCTTGGTTATCCATAGTTATATAATAAAATACAAGTTGTTATTGTTGGCTCCAGATGTGATGATTTTGATATGGTGACATATCAAAACACCTTCAACAAATAACAGTTGAGTTTGCTTAGTTCACCTAGAAAGCATGTGTTAGAGGATATAATTAAAGTATTCATCATTTGTGACATCATTTATAGGAGAAAGTACTCTGTCACCCACAATTAGCTAATTAATGTGTAATAAATTTATTTAATATACTAATATTATGTAACATATTTAATAAGACTTATGAAGAAGAATTTGAAGAACAAGGAAACATGGTGCCTTACAAAGTTGAATTGGCTGATGCAGAGAGTCAACTAAGGTGAGATCTTTCTAATTCACTCTGGGTACTTATTTTTCCTTTTGCTTGTTCTGTTGATCTTTATTATTATATTATTGTTGTACTGTGGGTACATTGTGACATTACCAAAGTGCTCATTATATATCACAATTGAACTCATCCCCTCTATCACTCTCCTTTATCCCTCCATCTTCCCTGTTCCTGGAATAGTTTTAGCAGGTCTCATTTTTCCATTTTCATACATGAGCACATCCACTATATTCACCCTCCTTACCCTTTATTATATCCTTCTCCCTCCCACTGGTAGCAACTCCCAGACAAGACCTGTTTTACCTTCCTGTTCTCCATTTTAAAAAAGACATCATTGTTTCCTTAAGATTAAAAACCAAACACACAAAAATCATGTAGCTCTTAAAATGAGAAATTCATGATGTCAAAACTTGTGCGTTTAATGTTAATTTTACTTGTCACGTTTAAATATGTGTATACTATTGATATTTGCTAATATTCATCAATAAAAAATTGGCTTCAGTGGATAAGTGTACACTTGCTCAGTATTTAGATGATTTAGTAGATTCTTTTGAAGTTAGGAACTGTTATTTGAAGAGGTTGGCCAAGTCTGATATATTTCATATGAACTTTCTTCTCTAAACATACTCTTTGAATTTTCTTCTTTTTACTTTGCTATGAACCTAATCAAAGTTATATAAATGATAAGATTAAGAGATTAAAGCAGCTCCCTTACAGATTGTTTTCTGGGTAGGTTTTAATACATTATAAATTAGATTATTGAAGTATAATAGTTATCTTTGTAATTACTTTATAGAATTTTATAAGCTCCAAATTAAAAGTAATGCATAGTTTTATTTGTTAACAGTGTTAAGAATTACCCTCTCTCCTCTTTGCTGGTGATACTTTAGCATTCCATGTGCTTTCACTACAAAGTAATGACTTGAATAAATAATGGAATAAAGTTCCTATTAAGTAGCTACTATATAAGCTCTTTGTTTAGATTAATTTAGACCCTTTTCAGAGTTTGGTGACAGCTATAGTCCTAAGTGATGATGCCCTTGGACCCCCAAAATGTACATGTTGGGGCACTAGACTCAGATATATGGTGATAAATGTGTTTTTGGACAGAGGACAACTTCCTGGCCAGCAAATAAAAGCCTTATAATATATCACAATTGAATTAATCCCCTCCCTAAGGAAATGAGTTGCATTTCTACTCCTTCATTTGATCCCTATATATGTTATTGCTTGATCCTTATGACAATGTTAGAGAAGGTGCAGAAAGTTATTGATCAGGGTAGTAGTTTCATGCTTGGTTTGAAGGTACCCATAGAACTATATTAATTTTATCTCTTTCCTGGGGATAATGAGTGATGAAAGAGCACCTTTTTAGTCAAGTATAATCCAGGAGTTTTGTGATGGTACTAGGTAGAGTTTATATAAATATCAGGTACTAATAAATACATTATTCAATTCATAGTGTATGTTATTTAAATTATAACTATGCATAAAGGTAATCATTATTAAAAATTGAAACTTAAATGCCATACACTACTTTTAACATTTTTGATACACAATGCAGTTTAGTGCATCAATGTACTATGATCCTCCTAACAAAACTTTGGTTTCATCAAGTTTCAATTAGTTTGAAAGATAACTCTTCATTTTAGAAGAAAGAATGTGAGAAATCAAGCTTATTTCAATATCTTATGAAATAAGAACTTTCAAGTGAAATTTTGTAATTGAACTTGATTCAGCTACCTATTCCTTTTATGCAGTACTATTTAATTATTTGTAGCCTATAATGTCTGCTGTAAAGTTAAAACTATTATCAAATTTGCATGAATAACATTCCACTAGAGAATATATGCTTTTAATAAATTGAGAATATTTTATATCATTTCCTTCAACTCTACTTTTGTGATTGTCATGAAACATGAAAGTTGGATATTTCCTGACTACCAGTGGAATAGTTTTCCATATGAAAATAGCATCTATCAACATCATGCTTTCAACACAGGAAAAGTAGATCTCTTAAATCTTTGTCTGAGAAACAGCTCTACATATTGTAAAGATAACTTAAAAGGTAACTTTTTTCTTATTGCTTATTACTACTAACAATGAATGCTGGTAATTTAACAGTAATCAATAGATATTGAAGCCTATGCAAATTTTGCTTATTGTTGTTTTCATTTTAAAACCAGGAATTTAGTCCTTGGAGGAAAATTCCTTGAAAGTGTATAATTTTGGAGGAAAGGAGGGGGCGAGGGGAAGGGGGGAGTAATGACCCAATCATTGTATGCACATATGAATAAAGGAAATTAAAACAAAAATGAATAATTTTTCTAACATATAGTCTTTTTAGTAAGTGGCCCACAGTGTTTTGTGTTCAGAAGAAAACAAAACCATTATAGGCTCTCTAAACATTGTTCTGGATTAAACAAGCATTTAAAAGGTGACGTGGAATACCTTCATGAGAAAAGCCTGAATGGCATGTTCATATTTGATATAAAGTTTTGCATGACATAAAACCTAACCCAACAAGTCATCTTACCTGTGTCTCTGTGTTGTATTGACTAATAGTTTCTTTGAACTCATTAGGTTAGAATGCTCTGTTGAAATGCCTGGTTTCACTTTCCCAATTGTGAGAGCATTAACTAGAGTTACAGCTAAGTATCCTGGCCTGGGTGTCAGATTTTGTTTTCATATCTGCCTTTCAATCGCTGTCACCTTGAAATGTCTTACTTTCTTTGACCTGATTTTAGTAATCTAAAATGCAAGAATTAAATAATTTCCAATCTTCCATTCAAATATTATGTTTGATATAGCTAGGATTTTAAGAAAACCCAATAGCTACATCTTACATGAAGAATCTGAGAGCTACTGAGGGGCATTACTTAAAATAATTGGTTATAAAACTGATGTTTACCTTCAATAAAAGTAGAGAACAGAAGGTAACAGAGGGAACCATGCTGTTTTTGCCATTTTCAACTACTGAGCCCCTATATCCTTGTGGCCACATATAAACTACACCTACTGTGTAACTTAGGAATTTATAGGACTCCAGATATGTCTAGAAGGTAAGTGTTGTTCAATGGAAGGGAAGCATGGTTTTCCAGTTGCCTTTGAGAAAATGGTGAACATAAATGCTATACAATTGTTACTTTGAAGAAACCTTTAAAATAATTCTTTAGAGTGGTCTTTGATTTGCATCAAAATTGGGCAGAAAGCACAGCATTCCTAAATAACCTTTGACCTACTTACATACACAGCTTCCTCCCCTATCAACATCCCACACCAAAATACTCATTCCTTTTTATCAATGAATAATATTCCATTAAAAAGCTGTGCTACATCCACACTTTACTTATTGAAGGAGGTCTTTGTTGCTTCCAAACTTTGGCAGCTGTGAATACTAGTGCTATTAACAGCCATGTGTGGATTTTTGATTGGGCATAAGTTTTTAGCACATTTGAAAAAACACCAAGAATGATTGTGAAAATATGTTTGGACTTGTAAAAAATTACAAAAGTGAATGAGAATTCCTATTGATCTACTCATCACTGGCATTTGAGGTTGTTAGTGTTTTAGATTTTTGCCATTCTAATAATTGTGTAGTGATAGTTCATTGCTTTGTTTGCAATTCCCTAACAAAATGTGATTTGGGGCATCTTTGAATATGTTTGTCATCATCTGTGAATCTTTTTCTTTTTCTTTTTTATCTCTTTTCTTCTTTTTTGGTTCTGGGTTCTGCACCCCAGAGTCTTGTACATGCTAGATAAGTGCTTTACCATTGAGCTACATTTCCAATGCCATATATCCTCATATGCTTTCTTTATTGTGTTATCTGGTCACATTTTTGTCTATTTTTAATTGTGTGGTTTGTTTTACTATTGATAAATTTTAAGAATTCTTTCTATATATTTGAAACACTGCTTTTTAAAAATCAGGTAATGTCTTTTGCAAATATTTCTGTCAGTTTATGAATTGACTCTCATTCTATTGACAGTATTTTTTCAGAGTAGAAGTTTTCATTTTTAATGAAGCTCATCTTATTATTTCTTTGGTGTTTTGTCTTCAACATTGTCATCATGGCCAAGGTCATCTAGGTCTTTTTCTATACCTTGCATTTCACATTTATCTGAATTTCACATTGAATTAATTTTTGTGAGAAGTATAAGGTCTGTGTTTAGATTCATTTCCTTTCATGTGGATTTCCAGTTGTTCTCCCAGTGTCAAAGTGACTGTCTTCTCCCCATTGTCTTACATTCACCCCTTTTTCAGAGACCAATTGACTCTATTTATATGGGTCTACTCTGGGTCCTCTATTCTGTTCCTTTAGTCTGTTTATCCATTTTAAAATCAATAGCACATTGACTGTTGTAGATTTGTAGTAATTCTTAAAGTAGAGTGGAATTGATACTCTGACTTTGTTCTCTTTCAACATTGTGTTGGATATTTGGGGTTGTTTGCCTCCCCATATAAGTTAATTCATTTCTCACACTATTTAGACATTTAAGAACTGTAGCAGTTTGAAGTGGAATTTCCATGTGCTATGGGTAATTGCAGTTATATAAGCATATTATTATAACAAATAAGTCTTTTGAGATCCAAAGCAGAATTTATACCAGCAGAGAAAAATTTAGCCAAAGTCTCTACTAGTTTATGTAGGTATTTGTTCTGGAAGAATACTAATGGCTGGTTAGATGAAGCTGTATTGAATACAAATAATATTTATACTTTTATGTAAAATGAAAGCAATGTCTGCAAGAAGTTTTAAAGAATTTTTATTCTTCAGAAGAGCTTGATCAGTTTCACCACTCAGGCTTCACATTGTAACCACTGGTAAAAATTTGTTGGGGGAAAGTAAATATTGCCAGTGTCTAAGTTTCACTCCCATTGTCTGATTGTCTGATTGGAGTCAGGTATAGATCTCCAGGAGATTCTCTTATGTGGCTAAACCAAGTGATTTGCTGAAAGCAGACATGATGAGGGGGTGACATGATGAGGGGGTGACATGATGAGGGGGTGACATGATGAAGGGTGACTAAGATGAGCCTGTTCACTTTGTGGCTTCCTAGAGGCACATGTCCAGAAGCACATGTTGTGGAACACTTTGGCTACAGTTCTTTTATCAGGCAGAACTCCCTGTGACCTCTGCTATTACTGCACATGCCAAGGAAGAGAAACAAATGTGGAAGGTTTCCTTTTCTATATGAGTTGCAATTATAAAATTTGAATGAGAGAAGTGGGGAAGTAAGAATTGAACTATAAACTGACATAAAAACTTGCATCCATTTCAAAATTTCATTGCAAAATAATGGCTGTCTTCCTTTTACTAGTTTACCTCATTAATATTTGATTATATAAGTGAATTATGATTGCCATCTATGAATGTAAGCATAGTAAAAGTATTTTAACATTGAAGCCTCAGTGAAGAGATTTTGATAAAGTTTTTTACCACCAAACTTTTGGTTTATGAACAGCTTAATCAATTTACTTGTCAATTCATTTACCTCTTATAAATATGTATTTTCAACTGCAGTAACTTCAAATGCAGATTTTGACAACAATGTGGATCCTGATTCTCACTCTCCTGACACTGAAAAACTAGGGGAAAGTAGTTCTTCTCAACAAAACTTAAACAGAAAAGTATAGATACAGAAAGTAACCATAAGTCTGATGATTTCTGCATATCACTGGAGAGCAAGGATTCCTTGCCAAGTACAGATTTCAATCAACCTTCCATTGAAGAGAAATTATCTCAAGTCAACAAAGAATCCTTTGAATTCAGCAATCTGCATAATAGGCCAACCTTTGAAGATTCTAAAACTACAAAGTCACCACTGGTAAATCTCTACTATTTATTAACATTTTTAGAAGGAATTTCTGAAGAAAATGTTATTTTGGTTCTCAAATGTTACTGTCTACTGAAGTTAAAATGTGCTGACTTATATTATCAGGTGGTAGCTGAAGAGTGACTTGTATGGGAAAGAACACTAATGACTTATAGAGCAAATTCTAGTATGGTGAATGCCATATTAACAAATGGTTTTCTGTGACAAATGAATTAAGACCCACCTCATAAACCATAGTAAGAGTGTAATTACTTTTTCAAATAAAATTCATTATCAGTAATAATAAATCCTATCACTTTTCAAAATGAAATAAATGTGGATAGAATCACTTTCTCGGGCATAATAAAAGTCAGGGTAATAAAGGTAATTATTTCAGGAATATAGCTAATATAGAAATAGCGATGGCAAAATTTTTTGTTTCTTCTCAGAATAAATAAAGGTACAGTAATTACTTATTTCATTATTGCCAAATTTTATGTTTATGTTTGAACCTCCATTATGTACATTAGAAATATTCAGTAATTGTAATTGGAACGTGGGTAAGTTAAACCTTTCCATAATCCTTAAAAGTTATTTAAAGTGAACCTCCACAAACCTAAGCTCAAGAGGGAACCAACAAAGCAGGAGAATGAATACTTGAGTTGCTGATACTTCTGCTCCAGGGACTGGCTTTCTGCAACCACTTTGTTGCAGGTGTTGTGCCTTTGTGTGGGAAGCAACTGGATTTGAGACCTCTGCAAAAAAAATGCAGATTCGTAAAGTCTGCTTAGGAGAAATAACCACAGGTGCAACCACAGGTGCAACCATGAAGGTGCAACAAGATGGAAAGAAATTAATTTATGCAGGAGATCTGAGTCAGGTCAATAAAACATCTAACATAAAAACTAAAAATCTTGGGTTTTCATTTGGTCTAAGTTTGAAGATACTTATCCAAATGTAGACTTTCTTTTCTTTTTTTTTTTTTTTTTGCAGTAGGGGGTTTGAACTCAGGGCCTATACTTAGAACTACTCCATCCCTTTTCTGTGATGAGTTTTTTTGAGATAGGGTCTCACAAACTATTTTCCAGGGCTGTCTTCAAACTGGGATCCTCCTGATCTCAGCCTCCTGAATAGCTAGGATTACAGGGATGAGCCATCGACACCTGGCACCAAATATACACTTGAATATACATTTATTACTTGGACCTTCCATGAATCCATGTAGCCCAGGCTAGCTGGAGAGTAACACTAGTGTTGATCCATTTCTATTAATTCCTTGATGTTTCTGGCAGAAGTAAATCCCAATCTCTTTTATAAAGACATTCCCACAATTTTTCCAACAATAGATGTCTCATTTAAAGCTCCATTTCAGATGATCTTATCTTCCCACTGCCCCCTTGAAGAAAATAGTTGATCATACACATGAATTTCAGCAAAGAGAACAAACAAAAATTCCAGTTTCCTAATCTCTACAGGGTATCATGAAGATGGCTTGGTAACAAATGCTCATATAGCAGCTGTGTTATTTAGAAGAACTGTGAGCTTAGGGACTCCATTTTTTGTACTGGGCAATAAACCTGCTGACCTCATCTGGTCCTCTGCATAGTGCTCTGTGGAAACTAGCTTCAAGGAATTGATGCAAATGGTGGTACTCTTCACAGCTTCTATATAGCTGTGACTAATAAAACTGTTGTCTCTGACCAAGAAGTCTTTTGTGTTTTGCCAGTGTCCATGAAACTATGACAGACTGGCAAGTAGGTGAAATCTTAAAAGTTCTTAAGCTCTGTTTTGTTACGTTTTTTTCCTTTTGAGATAGCATTTTACCACACAGCCCAGGCTAGCTGGAAATTGCTATGTGGCCCACAGTAGCCTTGAACCTGGGATCTTCATGCCTCAACCTCCTGAGTGCTGGGATTATTGATGTTCACAACCATGCTAAATGCTCTTCACAGTTCTTGATGGCAAGTAGACAGAGTAAGCTGACAGAAGCACATTGAAGCTTAGTAATTAGAAATATTGTGAGCAGATTAAATTGTGTAATTTTTAGTTAGAAACAGATTCCAAGTTTAGATATAAAAACAAAGCCCATCTAGTTGATTTTTATCAGAAACTCACTTAAAGCATGAGGAGAAAGTTTGAGAATAAAGGTAAGAAATAATTTAAGAAAGAATAATAAAAAGTTCAAGGCAAAGCTTTACCAAGGGAAAGGGTGACATTATATGTGAAAAAATTGAAATTAACTATTTACTAGAAAAATCAAGTAAAATTTAAATTTGTATATATTTATATATCACTATAGCCTCAGCTACATTAAGAAAAAACTGGACAAAATGAAATGGTATTATTGACGAATTCATCAGCCCAAGAGAATCTTTTAGAGGGAGAAAACTCAGGGCCCTGTATTTGTTAGGCAGGTGCTCTGCAGATGATCTTTGAGTTATTACAAATTTTTGACTTATGATTCTGTAAAAGCAGTATGCACATAACAGAACTATGCTTCAGATTTTGGATTTGGATCTTTTCCGCATCTAAGGATTTTCAGTATTACACTCTCTCATAATACTGGGTAGTGACATTAAGCTGCAGCTCCCAGGCAGTCATAACACCCAGCTAAGCTATGGTGTTTGGCAGGTTAGGGATGTTAAATGCATTAATATTTTCAACATAACAATGGGTTCATTGGGATGTAAGCCCACTGTAGGCAAAGGAGCATATACAATAAATGGAAGAGTAAAAAGTAACTACTTATGAGCCTGACTCAAAAGCAATAAACAGTAATAATAAACCAAATTCAAAGAGTGGCAAAAAGAAATAGTGATGGTAAGAATAGAAATAAATATTATAGAAAAATAAAAAATAAAAATCAAGTAGCTTTCAACAAAACTAGAAGGTGTTGGTTATTTCAAAATAGTTCTGGACATATTGGCCAAGAAAACACAAAAAGTACAAATAGACAGTATATATTGAATCAAGAGAATGATACGATTTTTAAATTGTTAGATTCTGACAAATGTCATACCAACACATTTAAAAATATGAAAAAAATTCTAGGAATATGACTTGTGGAAACTGACTATGGATGGATTAGAAAATCTAAAAAGACCTATGACCATTTGCTGTGGTTTGAATGTATCTTCCAAAGTTCAGGTACTGGAAACTTAATCTCCAATGGAATGACAGTTTTGAGAGGTGGGACTGGGAAGCAATGATTAAATCATGAGGGATCTGCCCCCATATTTGGATTAATCATGTTATTGGGGAGCAGGTTTGTTATTCTGAGAGAGGATTTGTTGTACAGTGGGTTTGATCCTCTCCCATTCCCTCGTGTTCCCTTGCCTTTCTGCCTCCTTCCATGGGATGAGGCAGTATGAAGGCTAGCCCTGGATGTGAGCCCCTTCATCTTAGACTTTCCAATCTCTAGATCTGTAAGGGATAAATTTATTTTCTTAATAGATTATCGGTACAGGACATTCTGTTATCTTAGCCCAAAATGGACTAATACAAAATTAAAACATTTAAAGTAGCAGTTAAACATCTATTTTTCTTCAAACTCCTTTCCCTTCATGAAAATAAAATAGGCATGCAAGTTTTGCAGGTAAATTGTAATAAACCATTAAAATATTAATATTCTAATCTAATTATTACTTATGGAAGAGAAAAGAAGCAAAAGTCCACCAATTATTATTTGAGGCTGCTGTATCCTTGATGGAGACGTTGGGAAGAGACTGTAAATTCAGATACCAGAATATAACTTCAGAGATGATTTAGCAGTAAGCTCTGGATGGAGCATCACTTTCTGTGCTTCTCTTCTCCAATTCTCTGTGTGATGAAGTCCTGGAAAATGTGAGGGCTTCCCTGCTGTTCCCTCAGCTCTGTAGGAGAGGACTGACCCTCCTAAGCCCTGAGCATTTTGGCCTTAGGCCCTACCCATTTTCTAGTTTTTTTCCCCAGAGAACTAGAAAATTGATTTAGGTCATTTAAACCAATAACTTGTATCCCGGCTTGACTTCCTGGCCTCATCCAATTGATCAGTCTGTCAGAGACAGCTGTGACTTAAGTGGTACCCCTATGTACCACCAGTATTCTGTACCATGCTATTCAATTAATGCAAAAAAATTTTTTTCACCAAGTTTATATGTTTTTTTAAAATAACAGTGTATGTGCTAGTATTCATTCTGGTTTTATTCCATCCAACAAAATAAATTGTTCAGAATAAAATGTTTCCATAGAGCTAGTTCTGTTAACAATCTAAATGAGTGTTTAAATACTTGAGATTCATAACATCTTTACTAGCTCGAACCTGCTGAAGGAATCAAGAGCAGTGACTGTTGTAAAATGGCTTGCATAGTTACTGTTTTTTCAATTAGATGAGACTAAATGTAGTTCTGGACAGTAGTAAAGCTCTTGTATGGAATGCCTGCCTTTTCCTCATGGGAGATAGTGGGTTGAGAGGCTTTCAGTTTGCTCAGGAAGAACTTGCCACAGAATTGCTTCTTTTACCACTTGGACCACACTCTCAGTCTTATGTGCTGTAGTTATTTTTCAGGCAAGGTCTTATACTTTCTGCGTAAGACATTTCTGTGCTGGCCTTGAACTGAGATTCTCTTACCTATGCCTCCTGCATAGCTGAATTATTCTATGAGAAATAGGCTCACAGTCTTTGCCTGAGCCGGCCTTGAACCACATTTCTATTGTCTTTGTTTCCCAAATAGCTAGGATTATAGGTGTGAGCCACTGTGCCTGAATCCTGTTACAGAATTGTAAAGAAGTCTTCAACAGATTAATGGATCTGTAATTTGAGGATTTTTATAAATACAATTAAACAGTATTTTAACTTACTCCAATGTAATTATAACTAAGGAATAAAAAATGTTTGAATAGTTTCACAGAAAATGTCTACCACCTATAATAGGATTCAAACTGAGTGGCCAAGATTCTCCCTGAGCAACAAAGAGAAGACAGGAGCCAGCTAACCTCTGTGATGAGTGACGTTGGTTACAGCTTGAGAGAACTTGAAGAGATACAAATTAGAAAGCCACCACTGGGAGGCCTGTAAGCAAGGCAAGCTTTCTAAAGTGGCCATCAGGAGAATCAATCAGATGGACACATCACAGGGTGCAGACTAAGTTCTTGTCTTTGAATAATGAGGCAGTTAAATCCTTTCTCTTTTCATGCCTAATGTCTAGATCTGAACTTTTGTCATTCTCCTTTTGCCCTAGTAGAAACCATTTCCTGAGCAGAAATCACTTAGGTATCTGTTGTGCTCCAGAACAATATTCATGTTCCAAGAAGTAGGGCTAATTTTTAGCGGTGGTGTTTCCTTAACACTCAAGTTGAGTGTTAAGATTGTTTATTTTGCACTTCAGTTTTTGAGAGGCAGATCTTCTTATTGAATCATGCACTAAGTTGTAGGCAGTATGTGAAAAGAACATGGGACTAATTGGGTGTCCATAGTTCTGGTTCTAAAACTATCAGAAGTTGTGAATTTGGACAAAAAGAAAATAAAATGTAATCACTATAAGTTTTCTGAGCTGCGAACCAACACTTTTAAGTCCTTTCAGATTTGCAACTGCATAATCCAGATGTAAACCAAACGTGAGCTTTACTAGAATGTAAGGAATTCCATAGCTATTGATCAATATCTGGGAGAGCCAAGAAAGATATCCAGGGAAGAGTAGACTTGGGTTTGTCTCTGAATGACATGCCTTACTGGTGACTAGCTTTGTTTTACAATATTTTTCATTTATATGGCTTAAAATTTGTATAGAATTATAGAAATTTGCTGTGCATTGTTTCAGCCCTTGAAGCAGACTATATTTGGGTATTGCTAAATACTGATAGCCTCTCTGATTATATTTTAAGTCCATCTAGAGCTCTTACTTCTTAATTACTAATCTGTTTCCTACCAGATTTCAGGTTTTTTTTTTAAATCTCAGTGCTAGTCTGTCCAAGAATAAGAGGATACACAAAAATGAATTAATAGAATGGTGGAATAAGCCTGCATTTCAAATCAGCAAGCGTAGGTCTGTTGGTTTCTTGTTACATAAAATTCACCTTACTTCTTTTCCTCTTGTCTCAGTTTCTTACTTGTATATTTGCTTCATGATGAGTGCTTTGTTAATTGGATTTTATCTATGGCCATTGTCAGATCAAATATATTCCTATCAATATTTTACTTTCATCTTTGAAATTGTTTTATATAGAGACAAAGACACTAGTTCAAAGGCACTGTGTGTGAAAGACACTGTGTTCTAGTATAATTTCTATGCAAAGACAGGGAAGAAAATAAAGGAAAGAAGACAGGAAGGAAAACTTTTATTTCATAAATTTTTGTCCTCCTTAGATTCATGGCAACTTTCAGATAATTACTATAATTTTGATTTATATACTTTTCAGATTTATTTTATATAAATGTTGTGTTAGTGTGTCTTCACTATTAGAACATTAATTTGATAAAAGCAGGATTTGCACCTAATGTGTAGTTAAGGTGTTCAATGAATGAATGTATTTCTTTGTTGTAATGAGGTAGAAAAGAAACTTTATTTTGTTGAATTTTTTCCTAGTTGTTAGAAGAAATAGCCCTCAGAAGCAAACCTATAACTGAACAATACCAAAGACTTGAGAGATTCTTTACTTTTGAGAAAAACAAAAGACTTAGCTTGCTTCCCTCTCGAAGCTCGGAATGCAACCTTTCCTGTACTAAGATTACACTTATAGGTAAGTTCAGATATGGATGACTTATGAATCAACCTAACAATTTTCTAACTAATTAAAAAAAACTGTCATCATTGGAAGAAATACTGGGCAATTATGTTCAATGGATAAAATCATCTTCGTGTGTAGCTGAAATTATTAGTCATGTTTGAGTTACCATACACTTATCTTTGAGGCTCCTATCATAACGTGAGGAAACATGACTGTAATAAGATTGGGGAAAGACTATTTTTAGAATTTAAAAGCGTGATCCTTAATATATGTAAAATAGTACAAACTCTTTGAATTACTTCATCAGCTAAGCATTTTATGATGTTCCTTAAATTTCATCTTAAAAAGAAATCATAAAATCTCAGGATCTGTTAAATTTCTAAGATATATCTGTAATTTCTTTTTCTCTCTCAAGTCTTTCTTGTTGTGGTAAAAAGCAGATAACTTAAAACCTATGATCTTAATCATTTTAAGTGTCCACTAAAGGTATTCGTAATGTTGTATACCATCACTACTATCCATCTCAGATCTCTTTTTACTTTGCAAAGCTGAGACGCTATTCATCATTCTCTCCTCCCTCTCAGTCCCTAGCAAACACCATGCTACTTTCTCATTCTATTAGTTGGTTATTCTAAGTACTTCATTCATATAAGTGGAGTCATACAGTATTTGTGTGTGTGTGATTGGTCTATTCCACTTAACATGATGTCCTCAAGTTTTACCCATATTGTAACATGTGCCATAATTTCTTTTTTAAAAATATAAACTATAAGAAAGCAAAACTAGATGGTTTGAAGCTCTATCTACTCAGCTTCTCCTTTATGAATCTCCCCGACTTCCAAGACTCTAGGGAAATAGAAAATGACTATCAAAGCAGAAAGAGTTTAAAAAAGAAAAACTTCCTTTTAAAGGCTGGATAGTATTTCATTGTACAGATTAGCATATTTTGCTTATTCATGCATCCATTAATGGACACTTGAGTTGCTTCCACCTTTCAGCTGTTGTGAATAATGATGCTATGGACATGGTTTGTACAAATATCTCCTCAAGACTCTGCTGTAAATTCTTTTGGGTATATACCCAAAAGTAAACTTCCCTACTGTTTCTCACAGTGGCTATACCATGGAACACAGGGTTCCAATTGCTTTATGTCCTCGTTTCTTGAGAGTAGCCATCTTCTTGAGTCTGAGGTGGCTTATCACTGTAGTGTGGATTTGCATTTCCCTAATGGCAAATGGTATCAGGCATGATTTTGTGTGCTGTTGGGCCATTTGTATTTCTCCTTTGGAGTGACATCTATTCAAGTTCTTTGATCATTTTTTAGTCAGGTTATTTTTTAGTCCAATAGCAGGGTCTTTTGATACAGGATTTGTTTTTGACTTTTTATAAAGTTCAATTGGTCTGTTGCTTGTTTTGTTATCTGTGCCTTTTATACTGTGCACATGAAGTCATTTCTGATTCCAGTCCTTTGAAGATTTTGCCCTGTATTGTCTTCTAGGGTTTTATAATTTTTAGGTCTTACATTTACATCTTTGATTCATTTTCAGTTAACTTTTGTTCATGGTATAAAAATCCTATATTCATTTGCATATTGAGTTCAAGTTTTCCAGCACTATTTGTTGAAAAAAATCTGTCCTTTTGTTTACCTTTGTCAAAAATCATTTGACTGAGTGATTTTAATTATTCTTACCACACACACATAAAAGTATATGAGGTGGGCAAGGAAGGTAGCTTTGTGACCATTGACATTTAAACACTTTCAGGTCTGTAAAGTCTGTGACCTTGCAATGTATTCCTATTCATTTGTGTCTTCTCTAATTTCTTTCAATTAAGTTTTATATTTTTATTGTGTAAGTCTCTTATCTCTTTTGTAATTTCTGAGTATTTCATTCTTTTTAGTGGTTTTTATAAATGGAATTGTTTTCTTTGTTTCTATTTTGAAATGTTCATTGCCTATATAAAGAAATAGAGTTAATTTTTGTTTACAGGCTGACTTCTACCCTGCTACTTTGTTCAGTTGTTTTAACTATGTTTTGTGAATTTTTAGGGTTTTATACATACAAAATCATATCTTCAAACAGAAATGGTTTTAATGCTTCCTTTCTGACTTGAATGACTTTTATTTCTTTTATTCTCATTTCTCTTTCTAGACTTTCAATACTGTTTTGAATAGAAGAGGTGAAAGCACACAACTTTTCCTTGCTGCAGATCTTAGAGGAAAAGCTTTTAGTCTTTTGCCATTGATTGTGATATGTGCTCTGGGTTTTCATCAATGGTCTTTGTTATTTGGAGTAGTTTTTCTTCTATTCCTGGTATCTTATGAGTTCTTATCCTGAAATGGTGTTGAATTATGTCAAATTGTTTTCTACGTCAATTGAAATGATCATATTTTTCCCTTTATTGGTTAATGTGATGGATTACACTATGGACTTTTGTATGTTAAATCATCCTTATATTCCAGGAAGGATCACTGCTTATACAGGATATTATTCAAAGTTTTCTTTTTTTCTATTTTCTTTGTTTTACTTGGTATTAGGTAATGGGTAGCATCATAGAATAAGTCAAGAAGGGTTCCCTCTTCAGGTTTCTTGAAAAAGTTTGAGAAATATTGGTATTAGATTTTTAAAAAATGTTTGATAAAACTCACCACTGAAACAATTCAGTCCAGGACTTTTCTTTATTCAAAGAGTTTCTTGATCTTGGGGAGCTCACAGGTTTGGAGGGACACTTGACAAAATGGGCTGCTTGCCTTGGTTTAAAGCCTCTCTTCAAGACAGAAATTTAAATACAAATGAATTGTTCATATATATAAAATTTATGTGTCTCACTTGCTCTAAACTTTATGATTAAATATCCTTGGCTAGCTCAGATCTTTTCTATATGCACTTATGGTGAGAATCTGTCAGATATAAAATTCTTCTAGGAGGAAAACCATCCATTTATGAAAAATGTTTTTTGGCTCTATAATTAGGCACCTATTCTCACATCAAATTCTAAAGCAGCCTCAAACCTTCTGGCTGCTTCCTTCTGAGGCAGTCAGAAGGAACTGTATATTGATTAGAATAAATGCATGTGCATGCTATGCAAAACTTGTTACTGAGACAAATCTTCACAAATAAATAGACAGATGTTTTTAAGTATCAATTTGGTCAGATCAGTCAGCCAATAGTTTAATACAGAAAACATCTGTGGGATCACCTACTTTATACCAGGTTGCCAGACACTGGTGACACAAAATAAACCCTGGTACCTGTGACTCAAGAACTTAGAGTCCAGTACAGAGGGTCTCACAAATCTATATCAATGTAATCATTTGGAAAACCTGGTGGCTCACATATTTTTGGACCCCACTCTTAGAGATGCAAGTTTATTTAGGCTGGGGTAAGGCCCAGGAATTTGGACTCACCAACAATTCTCTGTTTTTCTGGCATAGATAGCTTAAAGTTCATATTTTGGAAAAACTGCTGGATAGATATGCAAATGAATAAATTACTCTGTTAATAAAAGGGCTATGAATAATGTGTGTTTGGAAATTGATAGGTAATTAATGATGGGACATCCAATCAGTTATAACAGAGGTAGGTACATAACGTAGTTTTTTAGGAAAAGAGATGATAAAAATGACTTTGCCATTGAAAAGTCTAGATATGAAAGATGTTAGACACTATGACATTTCAGTTGAGTCTTTAAAAAGTAATAACATTTATATTTAGGAAAGATGGGAAATGACTTTCTGGACAGAGGTAGTGACCTGAAATAAAATAAAATGTTTCTGCTATACTACAAGTAATAGAAATCTTATATTCTGAACCTGTGCCAGTTTATAAAGGAATTTCAATACCTGTAAGATTTTAAAACTTGTTTGTGTAAGAACATGGTAGCTTTGAAATACTAGTGTTTAGCATATAGTCCATTCGTTGTCTCTACTTCCTCCCAAAACTTACTCCTTCTTCATCCCACCTTATGGTCTGTGTAATGGCAATACCATCCAAACATATGAAGCCCCAAACCTGGCAGTCAGCTTGACCCCCCAGAAGTCATAAACTGTTTATTTGTAAATCCTGATGATTTCATCCTCAAATCCAGCCCCAATCTAACCCCTTTATCTCTTATGTTCCTGGTGATCCGAAGTCAGATGCATCATCTCTTACCTGTTCCATTTCTCTTTTACTCCTCCCAAAACCATGTTGATATGATTAATTTCCATCAAGTTCTAGTATTTAAAGTCAGTGAGTATGCATCTATAGTCATAAAATTGTTGGTATTTATAATTTATAGAGAGTGAATTATACTTTCTGTATATTTTATCCATAAATAATATTGTGATTCTGCAGCCTAAAAGCATTCCACAGTTTCCTATAAAAGGTAGAAAAAAATTGTCTTCTTTCCCCTGCATCGTCCAGCAATACCTGAATTGTTACCCATCCCCTAACTGCATCTTCTCCCACACTTTAGTCAGATTGACTCCTTTCATTTCCTAGGCAGGCGAGGCCCTTATTTCTTAGCCTTAGAATGGGCACTTCTCTCTAATACAGGATGATCTGCAACCTCCAACTCCATCTGAAGACCCTTCTTCATATGAATGCTTCTTTCCTGTTAGAAATAAGGTCAGCAGTGGTCCATTTTCAATGCAAGGAATTTAACCCTGGGTAGATAATTACTGGATGCTTGCTTGTGTATGAGCTTGTGGAGGTGACAAAGCTCATACACCAGAAACACTACAAATAGGATGTTAGTGGAGGGTAAACTGACAAGGGCAATTAAACTGGGAGGGATAAATGAGGAAAGGGATGAAAACTATGTACATGACAGAAAGCACATATCACAGAGAGGCCTTCCCACAACAAAGAGACAAAGAGCGTTGGATACAAAAGTCCTTTCTAAAATTGGATCAATCCCAAGAGAGGCATATTTTAAAATAACCCAGCAGGAAATAATAAAACTTAGACAATGCCCGGGAAAGATTGTACACACCCTGAAGTACTCAGCCAAAGAAGAACCAGGGTAGGACCTGTGTACTAGGGGTAAAAACACCTATTGTAACTGCTTTGGGTGTGCCTGCCAACCAGACACCCGATCCTGGAAGACTGTCATTAAAGTCTTCTTTTCGCTGCACTACACGTGTCTCAGTCCATTGTTTGAGTTTCAACAGGTGAACATGTTTCTCACATTTCCCACTAATAGATCTCAGTTCAGTTGCAAGAGCTGTTTGAGACCTTTGAGACATCCTACCTAATACCAGCTTTTTGAATCTTTCTATCACTTTTATGTTTCTCATAGAGCCTATCATGATCTGACATTATCTTATTTAAATATTTTCTGCTGTCTCCCAACTTGGTTAGAACAAAAGCAAGTCCTAGCCTGTCCAGTTCATTGGTGTATCTTCAGTGATAGAACAGGGGCCTGCACACTGTAAATGCTCAGTAACTGTTTCTGAGCAGAGAAGTAGGATAGAAAGACTCTGTGTGTTATTTTGGAGCACAACTTGCAGGTAGGGACAATGTCTCATTCACATTTGAATATCCTGATCATAGCACACTGCCTGGCAGTTTTAAGAGTTAATAAATGACCTTATAATTGAATTGGATAAGTATTAATTCACAGGTTCTCAGAGCTGGAGGGGATTTAAAACATACTGTTCAATTCCTTAATTTTGCAGGTGAGTTATGGATTACCATTTGTTAGGTCACAGGCTGATTTCTAGTTCAGTGACAGGAGACAGTAAGTTTCTTAGCAACCCAGTTTGGCACTTTTTCCCCACTAAACCATAATACTCAATAAAATTTTATAATATGTTTCTAGAATTCCTAAAAATTTGTTCTCTGTTTTGCTAAGAATATGAATCTCAGCAGTTCATAAACAAGAATATCTATAGACAACATGTTTGCAAACTTTATTCAGTATTAAAATATTGGGTCTTTGGATCAGAATATTGTTATTTGCTACTAAAATGCTACCCAAAAAGCATGCTGATATAATTATGTTCTCTCAATGCTAATGTTATATTTAAAATGGTAATAGCATTGTTATATTAAATATTATTCAGTAAATTATTTATATTTTCTGTATCTTTATTGGTGTTTTGGGGCTCATTTTTTGGCAGAGTTTCATTAAGTAACTATAGAGCATATATTCTTTAGCTAACACCAAGGAAAATTTATTTTGTTATAGTTAGGATGCAACTGATCAGTATTAGTCATTTTCTGAGATCACATTGCCAGTGTTAGCACAAGTTATTCTAAAAGTAATATTTTGTGTTTATAATGTATAGACTGGGCAGTTTTTATTATGGAATGCTCACCTCTACAGTGGTACTTTTCTTCAGTGCCAGTCTTAATGTTGTGTCAACTTCTTAACCATAGTAATATTAATAACCTTATAAATTAAATACTAGAGGGAATAATGTATTTACCTAAATGAGTAATAAGTAAGTGAAATCAATGTCCAGATTGGAGCTTCGTTTATCTCTTTCTGTGTTTTTGTTATCTTAAATTACAGGGGAGCATATTTCCAGTAAGAGAGATGGTCTGTCTCTTTACTGTTTGCTGAGCATAAATCCTTTACAGTTTGCCTTGACTGAGACACATCATAATAGTTGTGTTTTCCCATAGATACAGTCCCTTTGAGTGCTGTTGAGAATTTCAGTTACTCCCACAGAACACAATGATCCTGTGTTCTACTGCTGCACAGTGTAAGAGAAGCAGATTGCTTTCTTGATGGATATGGATGAAATATTGGTTCTTTGCCCCTTATAGATAAAAGAGCAAATTCTGCTCATCAAAATAATTGTTTTTATTTTATTTTATCATTTTGGGATTTACTTACATGAGTATACATTATTTGGGCCACCTCCCCCCCACCTCTCAGCCTCTAGGCAGAACCTGTTTCATCCTCTTGTTCTCCAATTTTGTAGAAGAAAAAACATAAAAGACAATAAAAAACATGGTGTTTTGCTAGTTTGAGATAGAGATAGCTATACAGGGAGATTCCTTGTGTTGTTTCCATGCATATGTGTATTCTTAAGAAGTCAGGTATCTGTAATCTCAGCTATTTGGGAGATAAAGATAGGAGGATAGCAGTTGGAGGTAGGCAAGAGCAAAAGTTAGAGAAATCTTATCTCAGAAACAAGTCAGACAGGGTGGATCATGCTGTAATCCCGATGCTTGGGAGGAAGAGGTAAGAAGGTTGTGAATGGAAGCCAGATGGGACAAAGGTGAGACCTTATCAGAAAAACAAACTCAAAGCAAAAGGATGGGGGTGAGGAAGTATGGCCTAAGTGGTAAAGCAGTTGCCTAACAAGGCCTCGATTTCAATCCTCAGTGCCACCAAAATTAAAAATTCTTAATGATATATATATATGTGTGTGTGTGATATATATATATGTAATATATATATATTTGTGATATATATATGTGTGATATATATATAATGTATATATACACGTATACACTTAAAGGCATATCAACACATAAGCAGATGTCTGTCAGTTATTTTCTCTGGAATTGTTTCTGAGCACAAATAGTCACAAAATTGTCAGAATCTTATTTTAATTTATTCATTATTTCATTCCAACAAAATTATTTTAAAAATTGAGTTTTTCAACGTTCACTAAAGTGGTACCCTTTGGGACTTACCTTTATAAGTTTAATTGCTTACATAATTGCAAACTGCTTTCCAGTGCTTCCTAAGGTATTAGCTATATTGATAGAGTTTTTAAAGTATGACAACAGGCAAACTCAATAATCTTTGTTTCCAGGGTGACGCCCTGTAGCCACTTTTTTTGAATTTGACATTTTCCTAAGAGTCAATAGCATAGATACAATGTTATTTTGCACCTGTTCAGTCAAACAATGATTTGCATGATAGCGACATTTGTATTTCTTTATAGAATTCAGTATTTTACATAAATCCAGCTTGTGTTAAGGAGAAGCAAAATCATCTTACAATTTAAGTTATTTATGCTTAACATAGATATATTAAACATATACTTTTTCTTATATGAATATCTACTGTACATTTAAAAATTTAGCTGTGCTATTAATTTTTAAATTTGTTGCTTGAAACTTCTGTCTTTGCTAAAAATATTTTCTGTGAGAAACACAAAATTATAAATTAGTTTTTCTGTATATCATTTAAAGGATACTTTTTTCCTTCTGTGAACAAATTTAGCATGTTAGGAAGCCAACTAAACCAACCTTTGAAACAGATGAAGATAAGTAGTGACTGCCCTAGTGGAACACACCCATGCTTCGAGACCTTCACACTAAAGTGCCCTTTGAGGAATTTAGAGAAATTGCAGATATGATATGTCAATTTATTTAAAGCCTGTGTTTTTCTAAAAAGTTTACACGTATTATTTTGTCCCTACATTTTTAAAATATAAAACATACTTTGAGTAAAATTAGCTCACACTTTGAGTAAAATGGTTACAAGGTTCAGTGTGGTAAACACATTTTCAGATAGACTAGATTAGCATGTTAATCTGAAGTTGACTTGTTTTATAGATATTTTGCTTTAGTGAATATTAAAATTAATTTGTCTTTTTCTGAACATAGAACAACTATTCAGAAGTGTTCTTTATATGTAATTTGAGATTAATATATTTTGGTTAGGTGGGATGGGTAACAATCAAAAGTTTGTCTTCATCAATTTGGTTGCATGATCTTCACTGCTCTATGTTCAGGAGGCTGATATTTTGCATTGTTAAATATGTACTTCTGATCTTAAAAACAGCTGATTTACATTTTTGTCTTTTTGTTTTAGGCCAGAAATCTCAAAGCCCTTCAACGGCAAATTTACCACTTTCCAACTCTGTAAAAAAAAGCTCCCGCTGTCTTCTATACCCTCAACCTCAATCAAAACGTAAAGCTGCACAGTCGTTATCTAGAGCTGCTTCTGCAATTTCCGAAATTGAATATATTGATATGACTGAGCATAATGAGCCTTTCTTAGATAACACTGCTGACCAACACAACTTAGACTCTTTGGAAAAAGAATTAAATGTGCTGAAAAATCTTGTAGGTAATGCCATTTTTTTTCATTGTAGATAATGTTAGCTCTGCCCTCTGCCTCATTCTTCATATCTTGCTCTAAAACACAAGTGAGCCAAAAGTGCTTTCCTCTTTTCATCATCTTTTGTGTTCATTTTCTTGTTTATCCCCTAATAGTACCCTGAAGAACTTATAAAATGTGTGGCTACCCAGCCACACCAGAGATAGCCTCCCTTAGCCTACATAATATAAATTGTGGCATATGGACCTTCATGTGCAAAGAGGAAAAATATCTTTTTTCTGCTTTCTACAAATCCAGTAAAGGGTTGTTCTCTGTAGCTTTATGAATACTGCTCTTACTGGAAATCTAAGCTGTTACTTCTTCTATGCAGTGCTTCCTAAACTGTAATGTTTGCACAGATCCCCTGTGGATCTTCTTAAATGCAGATTCTAATTCAGATGTCTGACTGGGACTGAGATTCTGCACATCCATCAAGTATTCTGTGAAGCCAAGGTTGCTGGTTAACAACCACAGTTTGAGGAGGTGTCTTGTGCATTCTTCTCCCATCCTCCATGAAAGTTGTCTGACAAATGGTGAACATATTCTTATTTTCTCAGAATCATTTTTCTTATTTTCTCAGAATCATTTGCACAATTTTAGATAACTGCAGACCCAAGAGGCAGCCCAGAAAGTTTTCTGGTCCTGTGTATTCCACACTTGGCACCTTGTTTTTTTTGTTGTTTGTTTGTTCTTAATTAGTGTTCTTTTCTCTTATTAAGCTTGGAATATCGTTTAAAAGTGATGCAACTTTATTTTGAAACTTGAGTCAATAAAAAAATATATAAAAGAAAGCCACAGTTCCCACCAAATCTTATGGCTCTTCAAATAACCATTATTAACACTCCTGAGCATTGTTTTTATTTTTTTTTTGAGTATGCATCATTTATTACAAAGCCAAGAGATACAAATGCGTCAGGGCAGGAGGGTTCAGACACAGGACAAGGTGCATATACAGGCGGAGGGGAGGATTCCCAACCTCCATACAGGTTGTGACAATCTGGCCTCCTCATCTCCCAGGTCTATGTACATCTGAGGAAAACCAGGTAGGCAGAGATCTGCCCCTAAGGGATGTCCACTGACCTCTCGGGTAGAGTTGGGGTCAGAGCTTCCACTTTCTATTTTCTTGTGCTTCTAGTTGCCTCTATCAGCCTCAGCTGGAGATGGGTGGGGGGACCTGAAGAGCTTTTGGCCTTTGGCAAAACCTGGGGTCTGTGCTTGTCTGAGATGAACGCTGCTCCCATCCCTCCTCTCTAGGCCCCGAGTGAGGCTTCGCCCCAAGGTCTTGCTCTGGAGGGTTTGTTGGACAGGGTAGGACAGGAGGGAGTGAAGAAGCCTTTACAATGCCGAAGCCACACGTGGACTTTGAGGGCTGGGGCCTTCCGTGGCCTGAATCTTCTCTTCCACAAGATAAATGATGCAAAGGCCACACACAGGAAAACAAAAGGAAGAAACGAAAGCGCAGAACAATCTATTCTTTGCACAAAGTTTCCGCTGCATGAGGAGGCAAGGGAGACGCCTTCTCCACTGCCATTTGCTCCTCGGACTAAGGAACAAACTGCATTGATAAAAGGCACTGTCAGCAATTCTCTGGGCATTCCACAATGGGGGTAAATGGACAGGGGCAGGACAGCAGCCAGCTAAAGCTTTGGGGACTGTGGGACCCATCACCCCACCTGCCTTGGGAAGCCGATGGAGGGCACGGTAGAGCTTAACTGAGCCTCCAATGGCTTCTGAAGACTACCTGCACATACCCCCAAAAGGCAATTTACAAGACCCCCCCCCAAATTAAACCCCTCCCCTACACATACACACACATTCAGTTTGTTTCCTGTGGAATTTAAATTAATCTGGTTGGTCCATAGAAAATGAGTATGTATATTTGTTTTTTCCTATGTACATATATATATATAGATTTATTTATAAAACCCACCTCCCACCCCGAAGATGGGAGGAGCTGGGGAAAGTAGAAGAGGTGGAAAAAAAGGGGTCCAGAAAAAAGTGGAGGGTGGGGAGAGGTGGCTGCAAAGGAGGGAAAGGGTGGCTTTCCTCAAGTTAAGGGGGGCACAGGAGCTCCATTGACAGTCATCTTGCGCCCCCTGATGGTGGATGATGGTGCCTGCAGGCAGTTTGAGGTACCCCCCATTGGCAGCTGTGGTAGCCCCACTGGCTGCAGAAGGGGGAGTGGGGAAGGTAGGGTGGGTGGCTGGGGGACCATGGGAGCTGGGAGAGCCATGGAGGGGGTGGCAGGGCTGGGCAAGGAGGAGGAGGTGGCCGGCAGGGTGGCAGGACTGGGAGCCTTGTGGCTGGCCTACTCACATTCGGATGCCCCACTGGTGTTGGTGCCCTCGGAGGGAGTTGACACTGTGGGCAGGGCGAGCCGCTTGCAGGCTGGCTGGACACGGTACTTGAGGGGGAGAGGGCCATTCCGCCACCAGGAGTAGATGTAGGCGATGTCCATGAGAGTATAGTACTCCTTCAGAGGCTCGTCCTCATACAGGACCTCCACCTTGTACTTGCTGGGCACATCCATCTTGTTCCGGAGGAACTTGGCGAGGTGCATGACAGTCATGGCTGCTGGACATCTCAGGAAAAGAACCCCTGTCTTCTCCTTGTCCCCATCCCATTCTCCAGTAGTCCCTTCTTCTCTTCCCGGTCCCTGACTCCTTCGTAGAACTCGATGGAAAGGCTGACGATCTCATCGTCACTCAGAGCCCCCTTCTCCTGCTCCAGGACTTCACCTCGGTCCTCGTTGAAGCCATTGGGGACCTCTGTCAGGGGGTACGCTGCATAAAAATCCCGCCGCCGTTTCAGCTCATCTTTAACAAGCCCAGGGACCAATTTGTAGACAATATCTTGGAGGGTTTTGTCAGATCTGATGCTCAGCAGTGGTAGGGTTTTATGGACCTGTACATCACACATGGGGCAGTATTTGCTGGTTTCCAGGTAGCGCACGATGCAGGTTTTGTAGAAGGAATGCAAGCACTCCACGATGGTAGTGGCATCAATGAAGTACCCTCCGCAGAGGGCACACATGAGGTGTGGGTTCAGCTCTGTGATTTTGATCTTTGTGGTCCTATGCATGATGCTGGAGTTGGGACTGGGGGACCTGGAAAGTGTCACCCTGGGTTCAGGGTCCGGTGGGTCTCGGGGAGGGGGGGATGGGAGGGAGGGAGGGAAGGTAAGGAAGGGAAGGGGGGCGCAGCCTTGTCGCTCGCTCGGGCGGCGGGAGGGCCTGAGCATTGTTTTAAATATCTGTTTGTATCATAGGTACAAAAATAAGAATAAGTGTTTGGAAGATGAGTAGAGTAATGGAAAGGTGATTATTTTTGTAAAAATAAGTTTATGCTCCTTTCTCCAACACTTTCAAAGATTGCAAGTAAAAAGATATGCTCAACAGTAAAATTGAAATTATAGATATCAGAGAAGTATTTTTCCACAATAAAATATTGCAAGTTGAACTATCTAAACTTACCCTTTGCAGACCAAATTCTGGAATAGTGAAAGTTTTATATGTTCTAACCTAATTTTTACAAATATTACTTGAAAAATTAAGGAAAAATGTGAAAAGAAACATTAGGCAATTGAGGCCACTTATGACTGTATGTTTTAGATTTTGACAGTAACAATTAAATTTCTTTAATAAGAGAAGAAGAATGATTTGTTAAACTAGATGATATTGAATATTACAACAGCAATGCCAAGGCTTCCTTTCATTTGCCTTTTCTTAGTAAGAATTCAATGGTCCGTACCAGCATTTTCCCCCATGACTTCTTGATCTTGAACCTTTTATTTCCATTCATCTCTAAAAGGTTTGATTATGGCATTCTTGATAGCATCTGTCTTTCATCTTTATTGTTGATTGGCACATCAGCTAGATTTGTTTAGTTGATCAGAATTTCCTGTCCTTTGCATTTAGTAGACATTTCTCCACTGTCTTCTAATTTCCACCATGGTGCTACTTTGTCCTTTAACACAGTTTTTCTCATTTATATTTTGTTTAGTTGTGTTCAATTGTCAAGTAGTTTTTCCCTGCAGGTTAAGCTCATAATATATTCATGTTTGAGAATGACTGCCACTTTTATATTTGAATCACAAATATCCTTGTGTTATCTTAAACCTTGCACATACTGATTCACCATTTTCTGGTTCAGAATTCTGCTGCAAAGTAGCAGGAAGCCACCTTAGTTTTTTTTCACCTTGCCAATCTTGGTCCCATGTGAGAGGCTTCTTTTCCACCTGAATGTTTGAAGAACTTTTTTCTTAATTCTTTTTTCTGGGTAGAACTCAGGAATGAACTCTTGTAGGTGCTTTACCACTTGAGGCATTCCTCCAGTCCATTTTGCTTTGGTTATTTGGAGATTGGGGGGTCTCACAAACTATTTGCCCAGGCTGGGCTTAAATCGGAGTCCTTCTTATCTCAGCTTCCCAAATAGCTAAAATTATAGGCATGAACCTCTAGCACCCAGCATTTTTCCCCTTAATTCTTGAAATGGAGTGACTAGACCAGGATTGTGTTTGTGTTAACAAATCAGCATTTCTTAAAATGGCCTGGTTCTCTTTCGAATACATTCTTCCTTATTTTCAGAGAAATCCATGTTTGTGTCTTTGAATTGGTTTTCTCTTCCATTTGGCTTTGTCCTGATGAATAACCCATTTTCTTCATGTTGGATCCTCTTTAAACAATGTATTACTTATATTTTCTTCTGTTGTTTTAACAAATTTTTTTCACCTTTGTATTTACTGTCACTATATTAAGTCTTTCTTCTATGTCAGGATTTTAGTTTTCACCTGGTTATAGTCTACTTTTTATCATTTAATTTTTAAAAAATAATTTTCTAAAGGCATTGCTTTAACTTTTCCTTTGATGTTTCTGGTAGCTTTTAAAAAATTTTTACAGGAAGTTTACAACAAAGTATGCAAAAATAATATAAGAAACTCCTGTACCCATGCATATGATATATTTTAATCAT